AAAATGCACTGATATTTTTCTGTTCAGTGATGCGTATATGAAATATTTGAAATAGGTATGTTTTTACCAATGTGCTAAAGCAAAAGCTTGTAATTTTGAAATAAATAAGCAGGTGTAGTGTAGTCAATTCCAATTTGTGGAAAAATTGGCCTACTTTGATTATTTACAAATAATTACGTCCGCATTAGGGTGAATAAGAGGAAAAACTTTTTTATTTCACATAGAAGATTGTGAATAAAATGACATTTTATTCTTCACTTGGGTCACTGTACTTCGTTAAAAACCCCCAACACTAATTAATTATGGGATAAATGCTAATTTTGCAGCAAAAAAATATATCTAATACAGTGCTACGGTAAGTAAACAGTTATCGCCAAGGAATTCAAGATTTCCATTAAAAATACCCGGGTGTGCATGTGACGCAGTCGTCTTTACATAAAGTAGTTCAAAAATTTTTGAGAACCGGCTCACTGACGAATACACCTAGGCAAAAGAAAAACTATGATGATGAAGATGCCGCTACTGTACTAGTTCTGCAGTCAGTGAATGAATATCCAATCATGTCACTGAGGAGACGCTCAGAATACTTAGGAATTGTAAAAAAAAAGTTACATATAAAAAATTTTGAAACAAAATAAAATTTTGGCATATAAACAAATTCAAAACCACACTTTAGAGAAAGGCGTTGAAGCGAAACGTCTCGATTTTTGTCTTTGGTTCGGAGGTATGGAGCGAAATTTCCATGAACAGATTATGTTTTCGGACGAATCCACTTTTTCTACAAATGGCATTGTTGCTTCACAACATTGGCGATATTGGAGTATCGAGAATCCTCATTTTAGAATACCATTTAGGCGGCAATATTTCAAAAAGTAAATGTTTGGTGTGCCTTTGAAGATACATGCAATGAAAACAGCTACCTGAATATGCTCCAAACGTTATTTAGTACAGTAATTGAAGCTTTTCACCTCCGAATTCTTTGAAACTGAAGCTATCGACTTGAAATTTGGCAGATAGTTAGAGAAAGGGTCAATGAACATTAGTGACAGCGCCGATTGACGCTTCCACCCTGTTGGGGGTTGACACCCCTTCTCGAGGGTGGAATTTTTTTCAAAAATAACGCTGGAAATCGATAATCAAATTTTGAGCAAAAAATATTCGAAGAAATTTTTCGCGAAATCAATAGTTTATCACGATTGAAAACTTTGAGTGAAAAAAAACACTTTCAAAGTATTTTTTGCGAATAACTGAAAAACTACGCATTTTATTAAAAAAAAAAGTGTAATGAACAAAAATATAGCTAATAAATAAATAAGTGTTAAAAAGTGTTGTACGTCCCATACAAAGCGAAATATGGTTAGTGGAAGGGGACTTGTTTAGGGGGGAATACTCGAGTCGATGTATTCAACGTCAAATAACAGAAAAAGATTAATTTTACGTGTATAACGCTCCTGGAGTTTTTTGTAGTACTCAAAAAGACCTTCAAAATGAGCACTTATAAAAGTTAATTAGAGCAAAATTGAAGGAGTTATCGTGAAAACCAGATGGGTTACTCATATTTTTTAAGGAAAAGTGAGCAGTAAATGCCATTTCCATCAGCATTAAAATTAATCGTAGACCCTTTACAATTAGTTTTGTTTTAGTGTTTTCATACGATCCTGAAGTTAGACCGGTTTAGAATGTACGGTAAAAGTTGAAAACGTGTTTTTTATTATTCAAAAAAAATTGCCTTAGGTATTTATATAATAACTCTGAAACTATGAAAGATACGTAAAAATGATAGATAACAAAAATGTAGCTTTTTTTCAACAAATATTTTGCTTTATTTTTTATTCCTATAGCATAAAAAATAAAAGAGATATCGCCGCTTGAAGTATCCACTTTAGTGAAAAAACGAACCCTTCGATCCGTTTCCTTTAAAAAACGAAGGACTTAAAGGGTTTTATATGCAAACGATCTTACAGCTCTTGAAATTATCTTTAAAATGCTTTTTTGTATGATACAAAATTAACTTAGCTTCAAAATTAACTGAGTTATGGTAAAAAAACCAAAACATTTTTTCGGAGCAAAATAGGCTTTCTCATTTTTATATATTATATATTATTTATACAAATAAAATAAGTAAAAAAATTTAGTGTGATTATTTATATACAGGGTAGCAATTTTTTTTATGATTGATTATATTTAAAAATCGATTATAATAAAAATATTTTACATTAATATTGGTAAAAGGGTAGTTTATAAGAGTTGAAAATGGCAAAAGTAAAATATTCTTTCATAAACAATAGGTATAAGGGAATTTTTATTTTAAATTATTGCATAATTACAGCATTCCAAGATTTAAAACGTATTTTTTTATAATTATTTTAGCACAGGGGTGATTTATAAGGGTTGAAAAGTGTTATGAGACAAATTCTTTCATAAGCATAATTGCACCGTTAAAGCATTTCAAGCTTTTAAAAAGTAATTTTTTATCATTTTTGTCAATACAGGGGTGATTTTAGGGGTTGAAAGGAAAAAATTCTTTTATTAGCTATAAGGTAACTTTTATTTTAAATAATTGCACGATTTAATATTTCCAAATATTTAAAAAGTAATTTTTTATTATTATTTTTTGCATAGGGGTAGTTTTTAAGGGTTAAATAAAGGGTCGAAAAGATCAAATATATCATAAAATATGTTCGAGAACATAGAACATTATTTAATATTTGTCCTTGAATAAGATTTTCATCAATAAAATGCTTAAAACTTAATTTTTACAATTTTTTTCACTTAGTTTTTACCCTTAAAAAACAAAAAAAGTCAATTGGGCTTATGTTACTTTTGAACTTGTGCCTAAGATGAGCCTTATTCTAAATTTTCATGCAAATCTATGCAGTTTCAAAGAATTCGGAGGTTACAGCTGATTTTCAACTTCAATGACTGTACTAATTGGATAATCTACCACTGGCCTACCGAAATTGTTTTTATTTTCAGCATGACAGTTGTCCGGCGCATTCTGCTGTAACTGTGAGGACTTGGTTACAGAACACATTTTCCAATCGCTAAATTGGTCGGGATACTCTATATCAATGGCCCCCGCGATGTCCACACTTAACAGTCATGGACTTTTACTTGTGGGGCCGACTCAAACAGATTGTGTATAGCAGGCCTTTGGACAATAACATCGAGGAGCAGCTAAAACAACGAATTAGAGATACTGTACAGTCCACATCTTTAGAAGAGATTAGACGCAGCTACAATGAATTCCTTGCACGCCTTCAAATTTGTATGAACGTTGGCGGGGGAGTGTTCGAATAAAGTTTTATTATACATATATTTTTTTCCAAATTTATTATGTTCTGTAAAAAATTAAACCAATTCTGTGTGCGAGTTATTTTATTTAAAGACTCAAGTGACTTTTTTTGCACGATTTTTGCGAAATATCACTTTTCAGATATATTACAAATAAAGGTAGTTTACTCTCGTGACATTTTCAGATTTTTTTATTCTCTGGACACCCCGTATATGAAATATTAAGTTTCATCATAGCAACCTCATTTTAAATTCAAGCAAAACTTTTTGTTACTTGTGCCTTTTTTCTGTAAAAAGTAAAATAAAATATTTTTTCCTCTTATCCACCCTAAACGCGGACATACTGTATATTTTTCCAGTACAATATTCCTTGTTTTAGAATTTTCAAATAATTCCAAACTTGGGATATTTCGAAAAAATATACAGAATTGAAAGTCCGGTCCTGGCAATCAGAAAGAACGAAGTGTGTGAAGAGCTGTTTCGAAATTAACCTCGAAATATCGAGAAATATCAATTAGTTTTTCACAGTGGTATCAAATATCAAATACAGTAAACAGACAGAACAGAGAGGTGAGTGGAAACTTACAAAGAAAATACGTAAATTAGACTATAGTAGAGGAAATCGCACCGATAAAAGTGAGGTTACCGAGGGGTCGACCCGAACCAACTTTTTGCGCGGTGCGATAGCGACGAAATACAAAAACAGCGGATAAAGGCCACGAGCAGCGTGTAGAACAATTTGAGGACAGGACCGTACTCAGACCGGCAGAAAAAGGAAAAGAAAATATGGAGAGCGATGGTTACTCCACCGACGATAAGAATAAAAGAAGAAGATCAACAGCCGAAGAGGAAGAACCCTTCGGGAAAAACAAGAAAATGGTAAGAACACAAACAGAAGTATATAAAAGACAAGAAGAAGATAAATTTGATAAACTTCTACAAATTTTACAAGAAATGAGGGGTGAAATACAAGGTGTGAGAGAGGAGATGAAAGAGATAAAAACAGACACAAATGCACTGAGAAAGGCGCAAAAAGAGTTCAGAGAAGAAATCGCGATTCTAAAAGAGGAATACGAGTCCTTAAAAGGAAAGGTAGAGAGGACAAATAGAGAAGTCGAAGAATCCAAAATAGAATTGAATGAAGTAAAAACCCAGTTAGAACTGTTAGAAAAAGAAAAGAGACAGAATAATATAGTAATAACAGGAATTAAATTAGATACAGAGAACACTGATACCTTGGCAGAATCAATGAAGAAGTTCATAGAGGAAAAATTAGAAATCCAAATTGGAATAAAAAGGGCGCAAAAAATAGGGGAAAAGAACTGTCTAGTAGAGCTAGAACAGAAGAAAGATAAAGAAAAAATAATGCAGAATAAGAAAAAGCTGAAAGATATTACAGATAAAAGAATATATATTAACAACGATTTAACAAAAAGAGAAAGAGAGATGCAGAAACATATAAGAATAAGAGCAAAGGAAGAGAGCAGAAGTGGAAAGACGGTTAAAATGGGATTTAGCAAACTGATGATAGGAGAGCAACTTTGGAAATGGAATAAGGAGACAAAAAAGCTAGAAATAGCAAAAAACTAAGCACCAAGAGGACAGGAGGCAAGAAAAAAACGGACCAGGCAAGCAAAAAGGGAACGACTGCGATTACAAATCAAGGAAACAAAAGAAAAAGACAGGGCGGCTCCAGAACAAAAAATATGCAGAGAAATGAAAATAGAAGGGAAAGAAAAAATGAAAAGAGTTGGCGAAACAAAGAGGGGAGCAAAACAGAAATAAAAATAGGGACCTGGAATGTAAGAGGACTAAACCAAGTAGGAGCTATGAAACAGCTTATAAGTGAAATTAGGAAACAAAAGTTTGAGATTGTAGCCCTACAAGAAACAAAACAAAAGGAAAGTGTAATGATGGAGATAGAAAAATATGCATTCCTAAATAGTGGAGGGGACAACAGAGTTTTAGGAACAGGTTTCCTAGTTAGTCCAGAAATAAAAAGTTTAATAATGAAATTTAAACCAGTGTCGGATCGATTATGTTATTTAAGAATCAGAGGAAAATTTCAAAACATTAGCCTCATCAATATACATGCGCCGACAGAAGAGGCCGATCTAGAGAGTAAAGAAGCCTTCTATGAAAAGCTACAAAAAGAATACGACGAAATTCCAAGATATGACTTGAAAATAGTACTGGGAGATGCAAATGCAAAAATAGGAAAAGAGGAAATATACAAACAAGCTATAGGAAAACACAGTAAACACGACAAAACATCGGATAACGGTCAGATGCTGGTGGATTTTGCGATGGAGAAGAATATGAGAATAAAAAGTACATGCTTCAAAAAGAAAGAAATACATAAAGGTACGTGGAGAGCTCCAAATGGTGATTACACAAATCAGATAGACCATGTGTTAGTGGAAAGAGAAGATGAAAGAAATATAACAGACATCAGATCGTACAGAGGAATAGATATAGACTCAGACCATTTCATGGTGGGAATAAAAGTGAGACAAACAATACCGGAAAAAAAATGAAAGTGGTGCAAAGCGCAGTTTTAAAAAATACATAAGTCTCGAAGGAGAGGATGCGAGAACGAGGTATCAGGAAGAACTTAGTAAAGCGCTAAAAAATTTAGAAGAAGTCAAAGAGGTGGAAGAAATGTGGGAAAATATAAAGGAGGAAATGCAGAAAACTATAAAGAGTAGCAAAAAAGAAATGGGAGTAGAGAGACGCAGGAAAAAATGGTACGATGCGGAGTGTGAAAGAGAATTGGAGAAAAGGAAAAAACTAAGACTGAAAATGATAGAAACAGAAACGGAAGAAATAAAACAACAATATAAAATGCAAAGACAACATTGCAACAGACTAATGAGAGAAAAGAAAAGGAAATATAACGAGAAAATTGTCAAGGAAATGGAAAAAGAATTTAAATTGAAAAACATCAGAAATTTATACCAAGGACTCAGAGCAGAAAAAAGAGGGTTTGTACATAAAACAATAGCATTCAAGAACAAAAGTGGAGAATTATTATTAGACAGTAACAAAATAGTAGAAAGATTTGTGGAAGTCTTCGATGAGCTACTAAACGTCCAGGAGGATAGGGATGAGGAAGAACAGGTGCTGGAAAATTATGAGAGACAAGTACAAGAAGAAATAGAAAGACCACCATCTAAAGAAAAAATAAGACAGATAATCCAAAACTTGAAGACCAAAAAAACTCCAGGGATAGACGAAATAACAAATGAAATGTTTAAATATGGAGGAGAAGAGCTCTGTGATAAAATCCACAAGTTAATAGAGAAAATTTGGACACAAGAAAAAATTCCGCAGGCATGGACAGAAGCAGCGGTCTGCCCCATCTATAAAAAAGGCGATAGATCGGAATGCGAAAATTACCGGGGAATAGCGCTACTCAACGGGGCCTATAAGATATTCGCTACGTATATAAAAGAAATTTTATCAAAACATATGGAGGAGACAATAGGAGAATACCAATGTGGTTTTAGAAAAGGCAGAGCCGCAACGGACCAGATTTTCACCTTACGTGAAATACAAGCAGAAAGTTATGAATACAAAAGAGACACATTCGTGTTATTTGTGGATTTTAAACAGGCGTACGATAGGATAAATAGAAATCAACTTTGTAGAGCATTACAAGAACTAGGAATTAAAGGAAAGCTGTTAAGTTTGATACAACTAACCCTAAAGCATACTGAAAACAGAGTGAAGTTCCAAGGAAAACTATCAGAGAAATTTGAAGTGAAACAAGGAGTAAGACAAGGAGACCCGATCTCCTCAGTGCTATTTAATTACTTACTGGAAAAAATAATAAGAGAAGCAAAGATGAACAGAAATGGGTTGCTTTTCCACAAAAGACACCAGTGTCTGGCGTTCGCGGATGATATTGCAATCGTAACAAGAACACAGCAAGAACTGAAAACAAAACTAAAACATCTAGAGAGAGAGGCCCGAAAAGTAGGATTGCAGATAAACGAAAATAAAACAAAGTATATGACATGGACAGATAAAGAGTACAAAGTAGGCAATAAATTGACAATAAGAACAGAAAATAACAAAGTATACAATTTCGAGGAAGTAGAGGAATTCCGATATCTAGGCACAGTGTTCTCCAGAAGGCCAGATATAAAAAGAGAGATACAGGCAAGACTGATGGCAGGAAACAGATGTGTACATGCAATGAGGAGACTTTTGAAAAACAAAGACATGACTCAATCACTAAAAATAAGGATTTATAAGTCAATGATAAGACCTATAGTGATGTATGCAAGCGAAACATGGGTTTTAAGAAAGGAAGAGCAGGACAGACTAAGAGTCTGGGAGCGTAAAATATTAAGAAAGATTTACGGAGGAAAAGAAGTAAACGGTATGTGGGAAAGACGTACTAATAATGAAATAAAAGAATTATACAAGGAACCAGACATAATAGGGGTGATAAAGGCACAAAGAATTAGATGGTTGGGACATATCACGAGGATGCATCCAGAAAGAGTTCCCGCAAGAATAATAAATTGTAAAATCGGAAATACAAGAAGACAAGGAAGGCCGAGAGTCAGGTGGAAGAAGGAGGTGGAAGACGACATGCGACAAATGGGAGTACAAGGTTGGAGGGAAAAAGCTCTGGACAGACAGGAATGGAAGAAAGTGGTCAATCAAGCCATGGGCCTACTAGGCCTGTAGAGCTAGTTTATATATATATATATATACAGAATTAGACTTTTTGGTTATTTTTGTTTTTAACCTAAGAAGATTTTGGTTAAATTTTTAAATAATAGAAAATGCAAGTGGTACAAAAAATCTAAATAAAACATGGTATGTTTATGCTTTTAAATTGATGAAACTATCAGTACAAAATTTGGCAAAAGATTTCAAAAATTAAAAAGCGAAAATATAAAGGGTAGCCAAATGAAAACGAAACAGAGCCATTTTCAGGAACTGCGTCAAGATTGTAGAAAAACGTTCAGACCCGTCGATTTTAGATTAAAGGGGGACATTCTTTGCTGATTTTTAACTCCGCCACTTTCACTCACAAGCAAGGGTAAGCATCACCCCAAAATATTTAAATGGCATTGGGGGCTGAGTAATATTTCTTTTGAAAGCTCTTACAATTCTCTTTACAGCAGACTCTAAATTTTATAATTCCGCCCAATACTTATTAAGAATTTTGATTTTAAAGTTAAACTTATGTACAAACAATTAGTAGCGGTGAAATTGTCAGTCATTCGAGTTAAGTACGCCAATTGTATAAATTAGTATTTCTTGCGTTACATTGGTTTTTGGCGATTTGTTATCACTTACGTAAAAAAAACACAATTGCAAAAAACAGAAATGAATGCTATTCACACACAATGAACGTAAAATTAGTGAATTCCAAATTATTTTCTATAGTAGGATCGTATACGATGCAAAGTAGAGCAAAAAATTGTCGGCCTTTTATCAAAGGAAAATCGTGTCATCATTTTTAGGAGGCGTAAGATAAATCATTTCAAATTTAAAATGAAATTCAATGTAAAATCTGAAATACCGCTGCATACGCACTGTGTTCTGGTAGTAGCTGTAGTCGCCCAGGTGCATCGAGTGTACGAACTGGTCGGTTATACGTCAAATACTAACCTGGCGAGCTTTGCCGTCAATTAGAGAGCGCTTCCAAAAAACAAGTAAACAACAGTGGCGCGTACAGAGGTAAAATGTAGTACATATGTGGAATTTAGGAAACAAATTGGATTTATAATAAATTACATTTAAAATAAATAGTTTATGAGAATAAAGGAATTTTTGTAGGAACAAGGGTGCCAGACCTGAACTGATCCCCTCGTCCCTTCATAATGTATAAAGAAATTATTCAATTTGTAAAACCCTTAAAAGCGTACTTCATTGGTTCCCTTGACAGGCAATGATTTATTACTTTGCATCGAATATGATCGTACTATAGTATTATTTGGAAGCGTTGGTTGGTAGTTTATTTAATTGTGTTTTTCAAAATTAAACACTATGGTTTATTCCATTGCGAAAAGGGTAGATATCATTTTGCTTTAATTTATGAACAATAAATGTGCTAATAGAACAGCTCAGCTATTTAATGAACAACATCAAGATCGACATGTCACTAGGAAGTATGTTCTAGAGATAGTAAAAAAATTTCAAGAGACAGGGAACGTAGCCAATAAGAAACGAGAAATTGAAAAACCTATAGTTAATGAAGCTGTGAAGTTGCAGTTTTGGGACAAGTTCATCTTGATCCTACATTAAGTACGAAGCAGCTGGCACCTATGTCTGGGATCAATTGAACTAGCATACAAACCATTTTGAAGAAGAATAAATTTCATCCATACAAAATATATTTAGTCCAGGAACTTCATGTGGATGATTATGACCACCGTTTGCAATTTTGCGAAATAATGAGCGAGAATGATCCATAGTTCCTTTTTAACATCTGTTTTTCTGATTAATGCAATTTTTTCTTGAACGGGACGGTAAATCGTCACAATTGCCGCTATTCACCCGTTTCTCACGAGGTGCATACACAACAACCGGAAAAATTAAATGTATGGGCTGGAATTTTCGGTGTCCGGCTGGTGGGTCCTTTTTTTCTACTGGTAATTTGACTGGCCAAATGTATTTGCAATTACTGGAAGACACTATTGACCCTGCCTTGAGTGATATTATTGAAAATGTTCCAGAGTATGATAAAGATCATTTGATTCTTCAACAGGACGGTGCTCCTCCGCATTATGCGTTAATTGTCCGTCAGAATTTGGACCAACGTTTTCTACGGAAATGGATTGGGAGAAGAGGCAGCATTGAGTGGCCTCCACGATCACCGGATTTATCGCCCCTTGATTTCTTTTTGTGGGGATACCTAAAAAGTAAAATCTATAAAATACAGCCAGCGTTGCTGAAAGATTTGCATCAAAGAATCGTCGACGAATGCCGTCGAATCACTCCAGAAATGCTTCGGAATGTGCACGAACGTTTCGGACAAAATCTTTATTCTTGTATGGAAGCGGGCGGTCATCAGATGGAACATTTAATCAACTAAGTAGTAAGTAAGCAACTAAACATAATTTAAATTTTAAAATGTAATGTGATTTTTTTTTCAAAGTATTGGGCGGAATTATAAAATTTAAAGTCTGTTGTAAAGAGAATTGTAAGAGCTTTCAAAACAAATATTACTCAACCCCCAATGTCATTTAAATATTTTGGGGTGATGCTTACCCTTGCTTGGGGGTGAAAGTGGCAGAGTAAAAAATACCAGCAAAGAATGATCCCCTTTAATCTAAAATCGACTGGTCTGAGCGTTTTTCTACAATTTTGACGCAGTTCCTGTAAATTGCTCTGCTTCGTTTTCATTTGGCCATCCTGTATATTATAGGGAATCTACTCTTTCAACATTATCTACATCAAGGTAGCTAAGAAATGGTCCCAACTCTGTATAAATATGGATCATTAATAGCCAAAAACTTATACAGTCCGTACGATATTTGTTGAGATAGAATTCGAAGAAGACCCCTGCATC